TCTTCCAAAACCCGAGACTGTATCGTGCTTGGAAACTTTTAAAGTTAGACATAGTTAACTGTGGACGTCTCCAGATTTTTTACATATATAATATGTATAAATTATATATATAAAATACAAATGGTACATACAAACATATGGACTACCTACTTTCTACAATGTGTATTTCTTCTTTCAGACACGTGTCTGTCGATTGTCACTTAGTTATCAATAAAGTCGTAAATGCGTACAGTAAAGAGAAAGGTTGTAAATCATGCCTGGCTCAGTTTCTTTCCACTTTTATTCGACGCTTCGAATTCACGACCAACTCCGAACGGAATCTCGTTCTAGCCATTTCTATTTTAAACATGGCGAATGTGTCATCCCTTTCGGCCCGATATTTCACGGCAGCTTTCCGCCCTGACGCGGAACTTGCCCCGGGTACTTGTTCGAAATTGTTTCTTTGGCTTCCTGCGCTTCACGGTTACGTTTTCTTTCTTTCATATTTTTCCGCGGCTCAACTTTCGTCGGTCTTCGGGTACTTTGCAACTGCGGAAAAGAGAAAAATTGATGAAACTTCGCGGCGATGGTTTAAGCGATACTTGGGAAATTTTCGATAAGAGCTACTTCTTAATAAAAGCCCTACGATTTTTAGACCCGCGTGCAAACTTTACGGCGCTCTCGGGACCGCAAATAAAAGTGTCTGGGGTAAACTTATCAGTAATCGACACGTTAACCTTTTCTGTCCTAAATTCTACCCTCTTGGACGATAAAGAATATTCTTCGCGTGGCTCGAGTCACTTGGGGTTCGATAAATTTATAGTAGAACCTTATTATTTTAATTAAGAGTGAGAAATAGATGTTCAAATAAGGAAATTTTGGGATAATAGACGGAGGAGATTTATGTACAAAACGCGACATGCTTCATAAGATAAATGGCATTTCAAACACTTTTAGTTGGAAGATTTTATTGTCGATTACTGGCACGTTTACTCTGTTCATGCGTACCTAACGGAAACGTAGCTGAATGTAGCAGAACGCTTTTAACCTTTTAACTACACGCTCGAGTATACTCAAGCACGCGAAATAATATTAGTTTAGATGTTCAAATTGAAGGAAACACAAAGTGCATAAACATTTTTGCTTTTTGGGAAGATCTGAACTCACCGTTTTATACTGTAAGGTTGTTGGTTTGCTTCCTTCGCATATCTGTACACTTTGGATGTCTCATTTGTTTCTAATGCGCTCCTTTATACAAAGAGTTTCCCAAAACCACACACTTTATCGATGACGCGCTATAAAAGACAACCAGAGACATAATTCGCAAGTAGATCACCGTGAGCTGCTCGCGAAACCTGGTCTACTAGCCTTCCTCGCTAAACTGTTCTCGGCGAGCGCAGAAGTATGGAGAGTTTTCAGCGGCTTTTACTCTCGTAAGGTCGAACGAAGAACTGACTAGCTTTACTACGACAAGTTTCCCGTATACCCGTGACGAGCGATTAGTGTCCACGCCAAAAGTACGGAAAGAGCATAACCTGCCTCGTACAAGTTCCCTGTATCGCGCGGTGGATTCTCCCACTTGCGTCATTATGCATCGTGTTAGGTGTAAGGCAAAGGTAACGGGACATCTTCGGCAGAAACGAGGATGAGGGACAGGCTACATTCCTTTCTTAATCTCTGGAATAGCAGCGACGACAGGTCTGGTCTCTGTTTTAAATTAGCCTTCTGAACAGTCATTATTATTATGACAGAGATAAAGACTGTTGGTGCAGAGTGGCCAGAGAATTATCAGGTGTACTTATCGATTCATCTGTGGGGTATCGATTTATTCACGAGAGTTAGATTTAAATACTGATGATGGAGTTATCACTTGTCACACTTACTTGGTTCAACCTGTACACTATTTCGTTCGAATTCGTCGCATCTTGATAAATTAATCGGTCATTTCCGAAATCATCAGACTGACCAGCACGTCTCATTCCCTATATCTGAGAGTCTAGACCTACATCGTGATTCATCGTTCTCTGAGGGCTTCGTCGAAAGTCTGGCGCCCTTCCCGGCGGAGTTTACGACGGCCAATCTCCTGCTTGGAAAATCCACACCAGGAAACTCGGTGCTTCCTCGTTTTTTCGCCTCTTCTAGTCGACGCGGCGAGCAGAAGGAGCGCGGAGAGAGGGTTGGAAAAACGGGGCCACGGAGAGCGCAACCACACTTGCCCCGATCCTGGATACCCCTTAACCTCACGGAACGCCGGTGAAAACGATAGCTCACTCCCTTCTGCCTTTCCATCCGGAATCGTTTCTTCCAGGGATGCACAACACACGGCTCAAACAGAGTGATTCAACCCTTCAACTACCGCGCGATTTTACTTTACCTAAAGCAGCCAAAAGGGCCGATATTCTTTTTGGAATTTTCGAGGGACCAAGGATATCCTTTAGCGCATTTGTAAGATTGGAGTCTTGGAAGGAACTGGGTAGGTTAAAGTCGAGATTATTCGTGAAATTATTCGAGTGATTATTCGAGTCGAAATTATTCGTGAATAATGAATAATGACCCTTCTTCGTGATATTTTAAATTATTAATGCTCTTAATATTTAGATAAAATACTCCCTCGATAAAATAATATAGGACAGAATGGATGAAGTAACGAAACAAATGCACAGTGACCCAGTTCGACTGAACGAGACGTCATCGCGAATATAGTTCGCTGTCGCTCCATCATTTCGCAGAATATTACCCTTGTTTATCTAGCGAAGTGATCGCATACGTAAAACGTGTTCCAATCGAATTCCAGCGGTGCCAATACCGCTTCTAATCGTCGATTCGGGGCCAATCGATTCCCAAGACAAGACACGAGCTCGACCGCGGTCCAGCGGTTTCCCTGTCTCTCTCCAACCTCTGGAGCAGGGGGTAGTCCAGTGCAATTTTACCACCGTAATAACCGCTGCCGGCTATCGGTTTGTTGACCAAAGGAGAGGCTTCGCGTGAAAACGGATGAAAGTTCTCTATTTTTCGAAGCTCGGGGGCTGGTTCTGGAATCGCCAGGGGGTTGAGAAAACCCACCCTCGCTGAGTTCGGACGAGTGGGTGTCGGTGTAACTGTCGAGTCGAAGACAAAGTGGAGAAAGAGTCGCGGAACAGAGAACGCAAAGAGAGGACGATGAAAAAGGAGGGTAGTCCAAGGGTGTCCAACTTGACCCCTTGGAAAAAAGTAAACCACCCCTTTTCGTTACTTGGAAAGATTTATTGTGGATGCTATGTGTTTACGACGTCTAGTAATATTGAGAACGTATAGGAAATATACATACTGCATGGTGATATATTGTATGCGTTCTACAATTAATACATTTATCGTAAATATGTACTGAATGGCAGTAGTTTTAGTGTTAGAAAAGTATTTAAAAAGACTGCATTTAACATACCATCTTATAGAGGCCACGAAGCTAACAGATGTTAGCTGTACAAACTTGTCATAAATCTTTTTTTCCATACAGTGGTTTACACATGTAGTGTCTTTTTTTATACAATAATTTTTAAAGTGTGTAGGGAGTTGTTCAACCTGTCGTACGATGTAATGTACATACGTATAACGTCATCACCGTAAGTCGATGTAGATAATTATAAGATAAATCGGTACTTCTATGTGGCCTCTATCAGACGTAACGACCTGTCGTTCAACAAATCTTATCGAAAAATGGTACAGTCGGATAATAAAATAAGATACTTAGGCTTCAGCACTTCTGTTTTGAACCTGAAATCGTAAAGAGAATTTTTCCGCCTGGTCACCGAATGACTAAACATGTTTCAATATATCGTACTGACTGTATGTATAATAGGTGTGCGTCGAACTAGGTAATTTTAATGTCAAGGAACGACCAAGAATTACTAGTTACATCAAATTAAAAAGAAGATACGCAACCATGAAAGTATCGTAGGAAACATCAAAGTAACGAAACGAAAAAATGAAGATGCAAAATATAATAAGTACCGATGTCGATCGTGCGACGGATATCAGATTAACATACTTCATAGTTTTAGCACGTTTAAATAGGCAGAGATTTCTTCTATTTCCTTCGTATTGTGCTTCTTGTTTCAATAATCACATCGTGGTTTGCTTATCCAGGACGAGTTTGACCAGCTTCGTGAAGCTTTGCATCCTCTAAATATAGATTTGTCTTACTCTTCATCTTTCAATGGTAGTTACAGTATCGCGTAACATGCTTTTCCTAGAAAATAACGACGTGCGGCACTTTGTGCAATTACCCAAAGTAAAATAGCAAATTTAAATAGCAATCGATAGATAATAAATACGTTTTATATCTAACATTCTCTAACAAGGAAAACACGTTTTCGTACAATATTTCAAAAATTACAGATTTTATATAAAATTTTATATAAATTATATGATACTAATATAGAGTAAAATCATGTTTTTACCATTTTTTTTTAGAAATAACGTGGTCCTGTTAAAAGAAATTCGAAAGGATTTCGAACACCTTGGATAGAATTCTCTAGTTTCGTTTTCCCACTGTGTTCACCATTAAGCCCCCGTAGCACCTGTCAGTGATCACCTCTGTTTCCGTTTGTCGAAACGGTGTCGATACGTTTCCGGAAACTCTATCGAGCGGATAACGATCCATGGCTTATCGCTGGTGTTCGACTGAGTGTTACGAGCACCTGCGAATAGCCGTGGATCAATGTGGCGCAGTTGCTATTGCGGGCTCTGTAGATTCCTATTTATCAAATATTTCAGTGTGTATGTACTACACTATATACCATGGTTGTGTAAAATAATATGAACGTTAATATCTAGGAGAGGAATAACCAAAAATTCACATTAACCGAGAGTAATGTGAATTACTTATATAATATATAGTAACTTTTCACGCAATGAAGCTAGTAAATAGCTGGTTTAACATTTATTCATAAAATAAACGATTAAATCTCCACAGATATAAAAGGTACCCCCATGAAATCAAACTTGAATCTCCATAGAACCTCCGTTACCTCCACAGAAATTATTTTTATTCCGTTCCCAATTGACTACATAATGCAACAGTTAGTATTCCAGTTACATATAGATCCCTGCTCGTCGATTCTGTCCTGAGCTTCGAATTTACATATTGCAACAATCGCTGGAGTACGTTCGAGTTTCGAAAACGTAGGAAAACGAGGCAATCGCCTAAAACTGTGAGGAGTCGATTTCAGGTTTATCCGAGACACAGCCTCGTGAAGTTTCCACGGACTTTAGTTCGTTCTGTTCCAATAAGATAATCGTAACTCTTGGTTTAACGCTTATCCGCGGAGCAGCGTTTACCAGGCACACTCGAGAAACCGCATAAAGGTAGCGGTCGGATCGATGCAGATTGCTTTAGAAACGGCTCGAAGGAACGTCTCGTCTCTATTGACGCATTGCTGACTGCTCTTATCTACGAAACCGTCTGCAGGTGAAGAAGGAAAGCTCTTATCGATTCGAGGACGAACCCACCGATTTCTCGAAATTACCTGGCATTTGACTTGTCGGGGATACCAGCTCTCGTCGTTTCTCGCTGCCAGCCATATTGGATCCATTTCTGCGGGATTCCTCCGTATCTCGCGACAATTAAGGCGACGTTTCGACGCAGCTCCATTTTTCAGATTTTATTTCGTCTGCTACAAAGGTAGATAAATGTAGCATCTCAATTCTGTAACTAATTTAATTGCCTTTTTAACATTAAAACTACCAAGTCAATAAATTTGAGTCGTGTACTTTATTTAAAATTTTTTCTAAAGTCACTCAATTATTAACAATTATTTTACCACAATATTCTCTTTTATCTCACCATAAAGATTCAAGCCGCACTAAAATGTTCAATACTTTTCTCTCATTTTTCTTCATGTTCCCAGGCTCCATACATAAATTATTCGGAAATCTTCAAATCCGTTTCAACCTCGTTTTGGAAGCATTTTATATACGTGAAATCGTTTATCTCCGCGGTTATATCAGTTTCGTTACTATATTTCGCGCGGTGAGAATGCCCGAAAACAACTGTCAAGCCCAGACGACCTAGAAAATGATGATCGTCTTCATTCTGCAGTACACTGCAGCTGCGGAGAAATTTTATCGTAGGAAATTGCCACGTTGAATCTCACCGTGGGATCGTTGCCTCGTAACAATTTATAATTGCAGTTCTGGAGATACGTTTAACGTTCCCTGAAGGAGACTTATTTCCTTATAACGTTTCCTAAGTGTCGAAATCTTTGGATACGTATAATTTATAATATGAAGTATGTCAATTTACATCTACGAAAGCTTTTACTTACACCTATCTGGCAACCAGTACCTTGAATATGTTGCGTTAACTACACAAAAAAGTGCAGGGTCGAGAGAGATCGAGTCAGAATCCACTGGAGTGTGCGAAAAATAAAAAGAGCAGATAGGCAATGGATTTCACGTAGGCCGTTTAGTCCATTATTTTCCCGAAATTGTGTTTCCGATAACGTTCATATTTGATCGTTTCTTTTATTTTTGTTAAGGCACGTCCTCGACTCTCCGATTGACGTATCGAATTCTGGATGAACGAGCCGGATGCACCGGGTTAGAAATAAATCTCGTTCTATGCTGCTTTGACTTTCACCATTTACCATATCCGAATCGGACCTGGTCTCCATACACGTGATATACTATACACAGCACGTTGGATAAACCTGTAGGTATACTCTCTACTCTATTCTGGAAAATTCTACTTTGAAACCTTTCCCCGATGCGACGAAATTAGTTTGCATTCTCTGCACTTTGATTATAGCCACGAGGCTTCTTGAAAACTAATTTCAGAAGGTGTTCTTTGACAATGGTGCATTCTTTGAAAAGTGTTCAAAAGTCACGTTTCCAAAAAGGTTTTGTTCGCGTATTTTTAACGAAATATGAAAAATTACTTTTCACAGAGATTGTCATTAGAATTAGTGCTTCGAAGTAATTATTTGAAAACATTCTATTTAAACATTTTATTCTTCAGTCCAGGAATTTGTTTATTTTCTAAAATGTTCGCTGGCTTTTTTCCTTGTGTTTCAAATGGGAGTGAAAGAATGTAAATGTGTTCAAGTAGGATCTTTTCCAGAAACTTAAATCCAGTCGGTTAAGAAGCAGAAGCGTCTATTTTCCTCTCCTATCCGGAAGAGTTTGAACTTCACGTCGCATAGAGTGGTTCAAAGGAGTACTGGACCCACGAGATATTGATTTTGCGCTTACCGTGTTTTCCGTTCAAACATGGTCTTGTCGGAACGAATGGGGGAATGGATCACGATTTCGTTAAATCGGATCGTGTGAGTCCGCGTTCACATCTATGAGGAGTATCCAGGACTCCTCTCGCAGTTCAATCGAATTCGTTGATTAGATCTATCGATTCTTCGCGTTTCGCGCCACGAGCTTCCAGAAATATTAATCAAGCGATTTATTCGGTCAGTGATTTTCAAATTCTAACATGGTGTGACAGAATTCTGTTAATATGTTCTAAAAGTACATTTAAATATATATTACAAAAATATTTTAAGGACTAAGTCAAGTTTTTTCTAATCTACGATTTTGATTTTCTATAATAAACAACTTAATAGTTTGATCCATCGACCACTAGAATTCTCATTTATTCACAGTCACAGATAGAAGTTCCTCTTGTTCTAATTCGTTATTCGAAGATTTTCGAACAAGAAGAAGAAAATTTGAAATTATAATCCCGATAGTAGTTTTATTTGACTTTCGTTACATTCAATAGAAATGTATGGTGGATGGTGTTGCCATCTGGCGCGCTTTCTTTGGCGCCAACTGCGCGCGCATTTTTTTCGCCCAGTTCTGAAAGTTTTTCTATATTCTCGTTATAATATAACATTTATATACGGGTTTTGAATGATCGTAATCGCAAAACTGTGGGACAGGAAAAGCTTTCCTGTTCCTTTCGGTATTTATATTTACCTGCTTGACATTGTTGAGAGATGAGTCTTCGCGTTACCACGTGCGGCGCACAGGTTGATGATTCGTCGCAAGCTTAGTCGTAACCCACGAGAGTGTTCAGTCGTGTTTCGTTCGTTGTTTCGTCAAGGTCCTTACGTGACAGCTGTCTCATAAAAGTGACCTGTCGCGAACTTGTCTTCTATACTATACTGTAGAATCTTTCCTGTGATGTTTATAACGAATAGCATTCTTGTTTTTACATTTCATACTGACGGTGTTTTACAAGCAACTGTAACTTTCGTTGGAATGCATCGCAGTTATTCTAAAGATTCATTGAATGATAGTCAACGATGCTAATGTCTGCACCGAGTTGTAAGTAATTTTTAATAATAACGATTGAATCTTCATCGAGGCATTTTAAGGTGATTCTTTACCTTAATTTTATTTCCACTCGAAAACGTCTCTTCCGATAATCGGGCGCCGGATACACCTGCTTAATTAACGAACCGCTTCCTCAGAGGGCAAACAAGGAACAGCCAATTTTCTCTGTCTTATTCTTTTTTCCTCGAGCTTGGTTGCTTCATAAGTTACGGTTACTTCTGCGTCGGTTCGAAAATTCGATCTATTTGTCCGCTGGAAAAGGATCCGCGTTCTCTTGGATTGCAGAGGATTGAGGGGATCTAATTAACTGCGACGGGAATCGATCGACCGCCTTTAAAGCCGAACTGTACGGCTTAGTGGCCAAGAGATTTTTTTAAAATTCCCTCACCCATACCGTCGGCTATTTGTTTGTTTGGCTTGATGGAGACGAATAGACGTCTGAAAGAGGAAGCTGATTGTATTTATCTCTTCTCTCGTTTTTAGTTGGCAGCATCTTTCTATGTTTACTTTCGATAAATTGGATTAATAGTTACGCCAGAGAGTCTGGTAGATGAGGGCGAGGGTGTCCACGAACAACGTATTGGAATACCAGAAAAAATGATCGAACAATTCAATTATTCTGTTTTGAGCTTACCAAATATTAATTCGCACAAAACAATAAAATATAATATAAAAACTAACTAAATAATATTGTAATAAATGTTATCTACCTATAACGTTTTAGTGTAACTGAAAAAAAAAAAATTCTACCAGAAATCGCGCGATAAAAATAGCTATTTGGACGCCATTTCGAGTGAAAGAGACGAGAAAAGTCGTCCAACTAGCGCGAACAATTGGAGTAAAAATATTGTCGATAGGGGATAGAGAATTAGGGCCGTTGACGTAATTAGTGGAAAAAAAGGTGATGGGACATGAATACCAATTAACAGTCCGACAATTAAGAGGACCGTGTAAATTATACTCGCGGAAAATGTCGATATTGAATGCGCGCGAGTGGGATTTCGTTTGTCCTATATATAGAAGTTAATTGGAAACTGAACGACAAACGTGAAAAAAAGTCTGGCACTATGATGGAGAAACGGTGGGAAATCGGAACCGAGTTTAATGGGAACGCCGGGAATCGAATGTAAGTAAATCGAAATGTAATTTAAAGGGAACGCCGCGACATCGGTTCCTGGGTATCCGTGAAAGATAATAAATAAATCAACGATATAGCGTGTGGGTTTATTCCGCGATATCGTTGGAAAAATATTGGTCCTCCGCGCTACGATACGTGAAAATATAAATATAAAATGGGTACACGATTGAAAGGAAAATACGAAATGATATGTGGATGATACGAGGGGAAAATAATCGTGGAAATAGCTATGGGTTAGAATGGAAGCGACGTAAAGAAATTTTTTATTGACTGATCACTGGCAAAGCGAAGGTAAAAGTTATCGAGTTTTATCGATAGGGGATGCAAACAGTTCATTTTTGAAAATATTTATTAATTTCCAAATGAATTGGTTGGCCAATGCCTAGCAAATTTGAAATGTTCACACATTTATAACGTCTAATCATCGATCAGTAATTTGTAATCACAGAGGTATAATGGCAGGTGTAATTATTTCCCAGTTAAAGATTATTAAGTTAATCATGTACAATGATTACACTCGCTCAGATTATTTCTATCATAATATCCGTTCCTTTAATTACAATTATTGATTACGGAGGACTCGTAATCATATGGGTTTCGTTACATCATTAATTTCACTACATTTTGCTCGACTCCGATGGTTATTCGAACGAGTAAAAGAGATACATTAGCGACGAATGTGTAGGTACAAAAAGAATTGTGAAATTAAATATTTTACCAGAAAGAGTGAAATTACTTTGATCATGAAGCACATTAAAGTAATTGGAGAGTATTAAATAGTAAAGTAAGTCGGAGAAAAGAGAGCATCAAAAATGCAATAAGAGTAAAAAACTCTATTTATTCGTCCGTATTGAAGGAAGATTCGCATATACCTCGATTATTTCGAGTTGACTCGTTGCAATTGATAAAACAGTGGTCAATTTTGGAGCAGCGCAGGCTTCTAAATTATTAATAAAGTATAATTCGTTAGATATTGATCCTTGCCTTCCGAATCGACCACCGAAGTGGATTCTCGCATGCTAGGATACATTTTGCAGTTTCGATCGGCTAAAAATTCATTCTTCGCGGGAGTTGTGGAGGAGGTTGCTCGTAATCGACTCTTGAACTAGCCAGACAAGAGGAGAAAGCGTAAGCTTTCGGTCGTTAAGCCCATTAAATAACGGCGACGTCGAGGACAACGAGCCAATTTCCGGGCACGCTCCCACGTTCGTGTTTTGGTGGTGTGGCCGGTGACGGCGATTTAAATATTCCATGGATATTTACTGCCCCTTTTGGAATTGGGCACGCGGGAGGGTGTAAAGTTTCGAATCATCAGCGTTGACACTCGTCCTGAATATTCGCATTTCAGCTTGATTGGAGATCAAGCTCCATTTGAGAGGATACGAGCAGATTTAGCCCTGCGTCTGTCATGATATGCGCCAGGAATATACAGTCATGCACGAAAGTATGAGTAGAAAATGTATTACACGGAAAAGTGTATTTTTAATGTGGCTTTAAGAATTTTCAAATTTCGTGGGTGGTTGGATTGTTCGAGCATTTTGTTATGGAATGATTTCGCAGACGACGTTTCTATCGAATGACCGATGTTTTATTGTTAACGGATCCACGGTTATAAATCGAGCGAGTATGTTTCAAAACTTTTTCCATAAACGAAACCGCGAAAATTGGTAGTCTTTACCCGAACCATTTATCCAGCTCGA